CATTGTACAGAGGCATTAAACTGTCAAACACCAAGCGGTCACCGGTGACCGCAACCTATTGTTCTATAATTGTGTCTATAATGACGGTACTCGACGAGTTAAGTGCTGTAATGTGCACCTCTGCCTACCCCTTCGAGGATGAAAGGCGTAATGTTATTTTATGTTTTTTTGTCATAGTCTCCCGAGAAACGCCAAGAGGTGATGGTAAAAAGCTACTTTGATTTTCATAAAAGTAAGAAATTAAATGTTTCTTTTGTATAATAATAGTTGTAATCAACTGCTCATGGCTGATATTGCATGAATAACACGAAAACAAACACTATTAAACTGTCAAACACCAAGCGGTCACCGGTGACCGCAACCTATTGTTCTATAATTGTGTCTACAAAACCGGTACTCGACGAGTTAAGGAGGATTAAAATTATAAATACAATTACCTATTTCTTTTTGTCAGCGTATTGGAAACGTTCTTTTTGTAGTACACTCTGAAGACATTAAGTGATTTGTACTGACTATACAAGAACATTTAAAAATGTATGAAACAATGTCAATAAAAATAAAATACGTCAACGCCACAAGTATTAGCACTCTCATCGAAATAAGTAATGAGATATTCTCGATATTGCATGATGTGTATAATAAGATTCTGCATAATTCAGCATAGATAGAACGACATAAGATAACAAGTTATAACATATACTGTTGTTTTTATACTTAGTACCGTGATTAGCAAAAAAATTAATACCTACCTAGTAAGCGGTCACCTAAGTCAATACACTCGCAACACCAGATACATAACACTTTGGGTGTTTTTTTAGGGGGGGAAAATCATCAAATGTATTTTCCCGCCTGGGTGAGGCGGACAGGAGTGTCAGACTCTTAACTCGTCGAGTACCGGTTTTGTAGACACAATTATAGAACAATAGGTTGCGGTCACCGGTGACCGCTTGGTGTTTGACAGCATTATGCCACTGTACAATGTAACACCCACTTTTCACTATTTATGTTATGAGTCCCATGTAATAGGGGGTGAGCCTATTGCCATATACCGGGCAAAGTCAAAGTCAAAGTCAAAGTCAATTTTTTTTAAAAACCCAGTAAATCTTTGCCCGACCCGGGAATCGAACCCGAGACTCCTTGCCCGGCAGCCGCACTTACGACCACTCGGCCAACGAGGCAGTCATAGTATGTTTACAGAAGTTGTTTTTATACGTATAATAAAATGATAATGATGCCGATACGGAGCCGCGAAGAACTTAACGGGTTACCGGGGTTCCGGCTCGAAGTGCAGGAGTAGGAACGGATTTCCCCCCCCCCCCCTTAAATTTTTTTACCTATAATAATAAATGAATAGTCAGTTTCCGCGCTTGATTTTTTAATTTATTGCTATTGTAGATCTTGGTATACAAAATAAACGCCAAGATATCATCATCAACATGATCAGCAACCAGTGATAAGTAGTCCACTCCTAGTCTGTGTAGATACCTAGCTTCTCTGTTTTTTAAATGAGTAACGGGTGGAGTTTCTCGCTCGATATTCTCCATTCGAATCTACATTTTGGAATGAGCACCTAGCTTCACTAACAGACACACTGACAGACTATTATTGATTTTGTATTTGTT